ATATCCTTTCTCTTGTCAGATTACTCCAAGGAAACCACCTTTGAGGTGGGCAAATTTTGATCTTCAGCTTGTTTAATAAGGAAGCACCTGCTTAAATCTTTTTATTAATTATGCATATAACATGGAATTTAGTTTATAACAAGGCTGTGGACCTTTAATTGTATGTACATATTTCCTTTTATGTGTTGCTAACTGTCAATTATATTATTGCTGGCTGATTTATGGTTGTAATAACAATCACATATGGTTCTACTGCCCCTTCCGCGCAGCTGAAGGGTATCCTCTTCCAAAGGCAGGGAAGAGAAATTTCCAGCAATCCAGGGACATGAATACTTTTTTGTTAAAGTTCGTGACCAGCCATTACTTGCCCAGTGATAGACATTGGTGTTTTCCACATGAAAACAGACTTGTGTGGCTTCTACATGGCTGCTATGGCTGTGAATAACGGTGCAATGGCAAAGGTTCATAGCAGGTAGCCGGACATTTTCCCTGCCCCAGTCGCCAAACACCCACCTGTACTGTTTCCCACACTGGGACAGGCCTCTGTGGTTCCTGCATGGCTGCTTCGGCTGCCAGTACAAAGCAATGGCAACAGGGCTTCCAAATAACAAGTTTCTCCATATATTCCTTGCCCCAGTCACCCAACAGCAGCCATCGCTCACATTATATTAATATGTGTATCGGTTTCTCTGAATTCCCAGATTCATTTTTAAAAAATAAGTCTATAGCCCTTTTTGTGCAGATACATAAGGGAAAGGCATATTTCCACAGTGAAAAGGGCTAAAGACTTTAAAATATATATATAATGACAGTCAACTGCTGATTTATTAAAAAGCCATTTGATGGTGGTGGGAAATGGCTGCCACAGGTACTAGGGAAAAAGCTGCTGTACGGGTGGGACCAGGAAAATCCAAGCATTCCAATTTACATGGCAGTCATCCACGCCTGGTGGATGCCATCTCAAAGGTTTGCAGCAAAGCAGGCTTAGGAAACATCAGAGAAACCCCAGGAAAACCCTGGGAGGTGTATGAATGCACCACAATGCTGTGGGGATGAGGAAAAAATGAGTTTCTTTCTTCACTTTATATCCGAGGAAGTGAACTCTGACAAAAACTCACAAAAACTCATACTGGAATAAGTGTTGTTAATCTTTATTTGTGAAGCATTTGGGCACTAAAGTCATACCAATAAATTATTTCTGTCATTATAGGTGCACTAGATCAGACAACAGTATATTTGTACACCAAACAAAATATTGAACAAACATCCCTGATGGTTGCTATATTTCTTTTGCAGCCTAAGTTACATGCAGTTTAGATGATGATAGATAGATAGATAGATAGATAGATAGATAGATAGATAGATAGATGATAGATAGATAGATGGATGTCCCATTATGGCACTCAAATTCTACAAGCTGTTTAACCAATTAACTCCCTTGCTTTTAACTGATTCATCATTCAATTAACCAATCAAAATAATTTCTGAATACTTTCTTAGCAGAAGGGACAATTGATATTTTTTGAGGGGTACATACTTATTTTAAAATATTAACCTGCCTTTCTACTTACAACCAACTTAAAACCAGTAAAATCTTTAACAACATTCTTCCAAATACCTACTAAAAAACAATGATAGAATCCAATTTCAAGGAATGGTAGCATGAAACAGCCAAACTGCCATCCATCCAATACATATGTGAGTAAACAAAACAGTTTTAACTTGGTATCTTAAAAGATATAAGAATTAGTGCTAAATGATTCTTGGGAGGGTATTCTATAAACAGCATGTGTGTGCATATGTGCACACATGGTGCTGCTACAGGCTTAACCTCTGAAGATGGATCCCACAGAAGATTTCCATGGATGGAAAGAGGACCTCCAGAAACATCGGGCGGGAGGGTTGAAGGTTTGCAATGAGAGGTGGGAATTGGCAAAAACCAACCCCCTCTGTCCACTGAAATCTTCTACGGGAACTAACCTACCAGGTTCCAGGGATATCACCCAACTGGGCGTCCTCACGAGCAACAGTATTTTGGTGGTGGAAAGGGCCATCCAGTCACAGCCAACTTATGGCAACTCTGTAGGACTTTTAAGGCAAGAGATGTTCGGAGGCTGTTTGCCATGGCCTGCCTCTGTGTGGAGACCCTGGACTTCCTGGGTGGTCTCCCATCCAAATACTGACCAGGGCTGACCCTGCTTCCCTTCTGAGATCAGGATAGCCATCATGTACCATCCAGGCCAGGGCAACAATACCGGCTGCAGGCATAAACCAATGAAGTGCTGCTATAACTGACTGGTCACATTTCCATCTTTTGCTGTGTCCCTTTCAATTGATTCATAGCAAGCCAAACGGATAATTGAGATCCAGATAAGAGAAGATGTACTGTGTGGCCACCTTTGATGGTATTGTGTCATACTGTCAAAAGACCGAGGCACAGCAGAATAGGGAGGAAAGAAATCTTATATTATTTTCCCTTTGTTTTACTAAGGTCTGTTGTGGGGACTTAAGGTTACAAGAAATGCTACCAGTGTCTGCAAAACAGGTACTGAAGTGTAAGCCAGGAAAAGATCTTGAGTTCCTTTTTGCCTTCTCATCCAGCTTGTAAATTTTCCGGAGGGTTTCTGTGATGTATATATTTAATCCTAAAAAGCAAGCACTGGAGCCTCTGATTTGGAGCACAGCTGGGGAAGCATTTTTTAAAAAACTCTTTCTCCAGCCATCCCCCCTGATTGAAACGACTACCTTCCCCTGTTACTATTAGCTGTGGTATTTAAAAAGACGAGCACCCTCCCTTTGCCTCTGTTAAGTCCCGTGCTTAACAAATAGTCAGAGAGTGATTTCAGCAAAACTCAGGTTTATTTCCGCTCGACGATCACTTCTCTAACACGGTACAACTTCTGATAGCCCGAACAGCTTTTCCATTGCAGCTGCTCGGTATTTAAACATTCCAGGCTAATGTAGCCACACCTACTATACAGTTATCAACCTATCAGGTTGAGCGCATAAGGACCAATCAGATTTCAAGACGAAGCTTAACATAGCTTCCCAATTAGGTGTTTCACAATACACATTAGGTATTCTTGGCAGCTTCAGAATACACTACAAATCCCTCCCCCCTAAGCAAATACAGTCATGAACAGT